GACGTATTACAAGCACAAGTATAGTTCTTCGCAAATATAGATTTTTTGTTTCAAAAAATAAACAATTACACACAGTATTACGTCACAAACATATCAGTAACATGCATACGTTTAGTAAAATATACAAAAACTATGATGGGTATATAAATTCTAATTAGTTTTTTTTTACAAGTCATCACTTAAAGCAGCACAAACAAGATTAATTTGAGAGCAAAACCGTACGAGATTAAAAACATACATTTTAATCAAATCTGCTTTGAACATTTTGCAATAATAATGCTCTTTGAGTTTACTCATTAGAAGACGAAACAATTAACATGTCGCATTTTTATAACAAAATATTTAAAAATTAATAAAACAAGTATTATTACATTAGTAACTAACATATGTTGTAACATTTAAACTTTTGCACGCGCAGAGTCGTAATTTAAAATTCTATTCTGCGTCACATACTATGCTTGAAGCGGTTTAAATCTAGAATGTCAATGGCGACAACGTCTCACAGAATTATAAATGTCACACGAAATTCTATTTCTGCTGCGGTGCACATAGTCGACACATATGAACGCAAAAGTTGTGCGTTAAAAGAGTTTGGTTATACACTATACTTACTACTTTATATTAATCAGAACAAATGATATACATATACAATAATCCATATTTGCAATTTTTTTTCTGCGACGGAATAGAACTATAATGAAAATGTTTAACGGGAAATTCGGCGCACGTGTCAGAAGATAAAAAGATAATAATAAGATTATATATATATATATAACTGAATAATAAGGTTTCCTGCATGCAACATATTAAAGCTCTCAATATTAGCTCTTTAATCTTCAAGTTGGCCTAGACAGCAAGGTTAAAGAATTCATTTGCATACTCAATGTGAAACGGGACGAGAGCCTTTTATTTGAGCGAAAATATTTCTTAAGCTAGATTTCGAGTTTGTTTATTACAACGCTCTCTCTTTTACATAAACACACCACACACACACACACACACACGACAATAACCGATAATCATTGCAGATGTATAAACAGTTTGAAGAAAACTACCGCGCAGGAGAGAAATTAACTCTCTCTGTTAAAAAAAAAGATATAATAATAATAATAACGATAATGATAGTAAAACTGCGATAAAAGCAAACGTGTAAAGAAATATATGTATATAATAGCATATTTTTGAAATAAAAATATATGCAAACAAAAATGCATAAAATAACGCAATGCGCATAAAATTGCACGTTCTAATCAAGTTTGCGTCGACGACAGGTATAGAAAATTAACAAGCGCAATGATATATGTCATGGCGATGTAATCAATGAATACCATGTCAATTGCAAAGAGGTACTCGAAAGCCTCAAATTGGAGGAAGTTTACGGCAACTACAGTTGCTCTAGCGTGCGAAACTAGCTGGAGTCTCGTCGAAGTCTCTCACTTCGCGAATCGGTTATCCCAGACCAAATCAATACGATTGAAATTACCTAACTTTTACTTTCAATCTAGTTGCACACTCGTTGTGCAAACGGTGTAAAATTATTTTGCGCGAACTTTTTCGAACGGTGTTCTGAATAATGGATACTAATTGCAAGCATGCATTTGTGCATACACGCGCGCGCGCACCATACACACACACACACATAAATATATTTCTGAAAAATTTTATCCAACAGCAACGCTTCTTACATTATTGTCAGATTTTTCTATAATATCAAACAAACTTTTATGCTGTGTCGCTCTCTTCGTATACACTTATACAAAACATTGGCCTAATAAACTCCAAAGACGGAAAAGTTCAAGGTAAAATAATCTCTTGCGTTTTCTTTTCTCCCACTCTGGCACAGAAAGTTTTATTTTAAAGAAACGGCCGTACTACGGCCGATAATGCGCACACGGTAACAAAAAAAAAAGAGATAGATCAAAAGATTGCAAGAGATTCCCGCCGATTGGCCTGACAATTCAATTATCCGAACAATTAAATTTTTCTCGCCGTTCAAAAGTAAACTATTTTGTACTACACGGGAAGGCAAAGAAATAGCGTTCTATTTTCCTTTATATAACTTAAAGTGGATGATTTTTTGAGTTGCACTTTATACAGAAATAATTAATTGTTCCGCCTTGCGGTTCGTACATTCTTCACAAAAATCACGAGTCGCTGCTGTAAAAATCATTACTCAATAAGCGCCGTGGACGCATTGTCGTTTGGTTTTATCACAAAAGCAAGACGAGATTATCGCACGATAATATAGACAGTTAGATTGATGTTCACGCGCATCTGACCATTATTTCACGTCTCCATCTCGTTTGAATCAGGCTGGCTAGCTGACTGGTTTGGCGCAAGCTTTCACCGACCATGTTGAAACAATCTCGCTGATTGTTCATTGAAATTCAGCGCGCCGAGTTATTTTTGAAAATTGTGCAATACCATGCGATCCTCGGTTCAATGCTAACTGAACGTGGTAAGTTAAACATTGTATCGATTAAACACAGCCGAAATTGTATGTCTAAGTGTTATTATGTACATACACACATATATACATATATATGTATATATATAAAGAGAGAGAGAGAGAGAAAGAGAGAGAGAGAGACACTGTATGTGCACGTACATATATATATATATATATATATACAGGGTGTCCCAGAATTGCCGTACAATCTCTCGTAGGCAGATAGAAGGAATAAAACTGAGTCGAAAAGTCCTGAACCATTTTTTTCTATTATTTATAATAAAGGAGTAATTATTGAGTAAATCAGGCCAATTAGCGCCGATCTTTAGCCAGGCGCACGACAGTGAACCACGCGCCTGATGTGTGTGAGCACTCCGCGTAGTTCACTGACGTGCGCCTGGCTAAAGGTCGGCGCTGATTGGCCTGATTTACTCAATAATTACTCCTTTATTATAAATAATAGAAAAAAATGGTTCAGGACTTTTCGACT